TGTTTGCAGTTTGGCTCATTTATCTGTATTTGTCACAAAGCAAATTTTAAATTTGTCCTACATTTACACAGCATTTGTTCACATTTGTCTTAGATAGCAAATGCATCATTATCCTATTTGTCTCAAAGACAAATGTCTAATTTGTGCTTTGCACAAATGTGAACAAATATGACAAATTTTATATTTAGACCACATTTGTCCCACATTTATCTCATTTCAAATCTGTTTTTTCATCCAGTGTTGGTGGCCGCTAGCATTTCTCATTTTCTCACCGCCGCTACAAACTTTGATTTTGTTTTATCTCTCGCTCCAGCTCTTTGTCGCTCTTTCTCTTTGAGCTTCGCTAGCCTGTCGCCTACTTTCTCTTTTTCTCTGTCTTTTTCTTTCCCTATATCCTAAATTTGTGGACATACATTAAATCTATGCTGAATACTTTAGACGTGAGTTACACGTTTCAACCCCTTATGGGTTTCTGACTGATCTCAATACATTGTCTTAAAAAAATAGTTGTGATACTTTGATACAAGATCAACGTATTTTTCATCTAGTGGTCATATAGTTAATTCTCATGATCAGTTCTTTCCATTCTGTTTTGATATTGTCAAGAAAAAATTGATGTTAATCACTTTTGGGACCTAAAGGGTAGAATCTTACAGATTTTGAGAAATGTTTAGGAACACAAGAATTTGAGTTGAACGCGGTTTATTTGCTTCTTTACAGTTCATAGAACTAACGATAAAGTTACTTGTTTTTAAGCAAAAATACACAGTATTCATATTGAGAAAGTAGGTGTTAGGAGATGCTAGACCTGATAGAACAAAAGAAACCAAACTTTAGTTGAATTCACCTGCGCGTGGAAAAAAATGGCAAACTTGGAAATATCTCTATAACCAAATTCCTATACAAGAAACTTAAACAATGGTTTGAAAGAAACCTAATTTTCCTAAGATTCTGTCGAAACAAAGTCTAGTTTGAAATTAGGAAAGGAAGTGAAATTTAGCTAAACATGGCCCAACTGAGCACAAAGAACTCAAAAGGTGTTGGGTCGCGTGGCACTAAGCTACATTTAATGAAGTATGCAAGGCTGATTATCATTCCAGTTTGAAAGCAAAAGTGAGAACTAATTTCAGTTTTAAGCAAACGAACTTTGTTTAGCAAATTGCTTATTTTCCTTCAACAGCTAGAAACACCTACTAAGCACAGTAATTAATTGTATCTAACGAACTCGTTTTTTGTGTTTGCCAAATAAGCTTGAAGAGGTGTTTCTTAAAGTTAATTAAAACTTAACTATCAAGGTCAGCTTACAAGCCAAATTTGAGCAAATATCAAACCAAACCGTCCAACTACTGTTTTTAAAATAACTTGAAACCCAAACACCAAAATAGAATAAAAGGTCGGTTCAAACTCTATGCCTGGGAATTCCGATCTTCTGGCTGCAGTGCGCGCAGCGGGAAGTGGACAAAGGCATGCCATCTGTTTGCTCACAATTAAAAGCAAGTATGTGATCTTGACAAAGAGTAATGGTATCATGTAAATACATTTCTTAACCGACCGACCTGAAAAGTACGAGTAAGGAGGTTTATATATGTGGATTATATAGGATATTCCAATACCAAGGATATATATATATATGGTTAAAATATGATATGTGAGAGGAGAACCGACAAGAGAGTTTAATCGTTTGTTCGTTTGTTTTGCGGTAATTCATAGCTAATTGCGCAACTAAAGGTACGATGTTTTTAACCGCAGAATCTGGTTTCTAGGAATAACTTTCTTTCTCTCTTGTCAGTGCTTTCCTCAATAATAAATTCAGCGAGCGGAATATTATTTTAAACAAGCAAAGCCGAAATAAAAGATAAATACTGAATTAAATGTAAGCTGAGCTACGATGAAAAGGCGACAGCAAATGGCCTCCGAACGTGTGAGCTTAATAGTTTTTGGACTTCACGGTGTCACATAAATTGCTCATATTTAATCTATTGTCTTAGAATTGATAAGGTCGGTTTCCTTTGACTATCGCCTTGAAGTAGCTAGTGGTTTTATGAGTAAACATGTTTGTATTTTTTTGTGGTTTTCATTTTCAAATTTTTGTAGTTATTTTATTTTGTTTTCTAAACCCCTCAAATTTCAACTTGAATAAGTATGGCCAATAAATAAGCAGCTTAGTAATGATAAGGTAAATAATAAAACTCCTGATAGATAGTTGATGGAATTGACGATAGCCTCAAAGCCATCTAAAACACGATAAAAACACGAGCAAAGCGGCTTACGTTGAGTTGAATGGCTACAGTAGGACCCCAGTTTAACTCGAAAATCGGATAACTCGAACTACGACCTATTTCCCTAGGATTCGATCCTACTTTTCACGTTTACCCGAATAACTCGAATTCCCCGCTAACTCGAACTAAATTTGGTTTCCCTTGATCAGAATTTTCTTCGTTAACTCGAATTCTGGTTCATGGAACTCACCATGAATGTCATCCTATTGGCTTTTTCGTGTCTTGTTAAAGGATCAACCCCTAAAACTAGCAAATTCATTTTTTACTGCTTCTTAATAAGGGCAACGAACACACCATGTATTTGACAGTCATTTACCGGTGTTATCATAAAAATGCATAATAAAATTTCTGATGAGATAAGGTAAATGTGCCCCCTGCTGTATACTGAAGTGCTGAAATATCAATAAACTATCAATATTATCATGGTAAATTGACGATAGAATCGACCCTGATAACTCGAGCCCCCACTCACTCGAAATGTTTTTAGTTTCCCTTTCAGAGTTCGACTTACCAGGCTTCTACGAATCCTTGTTGACATTTTTTGCGTCATTAGCATAGGCTTACCATTATCTGATGAAGCTAATAACATGAAATTTCTAAATATTGAAAGAGCATACACCGTATTCACAAATGGCGGACACGCGGGAAAAAACTGGTGCCTAGTCATGAAAGCGAGGCGTTGGAGGGTAACCAAAAATTGCAAATGAAGACTTTCAGTGAATTTACAGAGTGTTTAGCACGGATTCCACCTAAAATAACTTTGTACGGACTTCTTTTTAAATAAAATTACGTGGGATGTCTTCTGCTTTTAATGTTTAGTATTGATTTGCTGTTTGCAATCAAAAGGGACGCGTATATCTTCAAGGAAACAGGATGATTTTGTAGGATGCCGAAGCCTCAGAAGCTCGACAAGTGGGCGATGGCTGGAGAAAAGCGGCTAACATGTTGGCCCAAACTTCACATTGAAACCGAGTTCGAAAGCGAGCTCACTGCAATTCGGTAAAACAGAAATATAAACAATGCAAATCTTGGTGGCAAGAAAAAAAGAAATAAGCGATGGATATATGGCCTATTTGTTAACGCAAGAGACGTGTGCCATTGAACAAAACAGTTCAAATCGTGATGGAAAAAAGGAAGACAGGAAAGAAGCGGTGACTGAGGTTTCGATGAAGTTATGTTTATTTGCCAGGACGTTATTCTCTGGTCTTTATCGATGAAGAACATCAATTAGAACTATCTTTTTTGTATATAAAATGCAGGAGCGATCGAGTGGAGTACGCTCAAAATTTCAACTTGTTACTCGGCAGACTCGGTAAGCCGGCACATTTCATTTCAACGAGTAATTTTCCTATTTCTTATCTTTGGCTGTTAAGAGTTTTAACTTCATGTTCCATAATATTTTAAAAGTGAAGAATACATAAATAAATAAAGTGATGGTCTTCTTACACGGATCCAGACTCGCATTTCATGATTCGAAACAGAAGCTTGTCGTGTTCAGTCCTGACACAAACATTGCCTTAAAAGTTTAACCTAGTAAAATGTGAGCTTTATACCAATTTTTTACCAAGAGCTCTCCGAGATAATGCCGTAAAGGAGACCAGGCAAATGGCAAGCCATAAGATTCACACACTAGAGCTTCTAGTTTTGATAAAATTATTTTGTTTCGCAATGACAAAGAAATCAAAAGATTTTAAATTTGCACTGAATTTGGTAAACTCTGCCAACGTACCTTTAACAATTCAATCCAAAGCGACGGAATTAATGTCATCCAAAGGAAGTTGTAAATACAGACATACATAGATATGTGTAAAATGACACTGACATGAATGAATGAGTCTCGTGAATGAATCTTTCACCCGCTCTCGACTTGACCTGTTTTGAGTAATGGCGGAGGTCTCTTCAGTTGACAAGTAGGCCATATATCCGTCGCTTATTTTACTTCTGTTTTACAGAATTGCAGTGAGCTGGTTTTCGTATTCGGTTTCAGCGTGAAGTTTGGGCCAACATGTTTGCCGCTTTTCTTCAGCCATCACCCACTTGTCGAGCTTCTGAGGCTTCGGCATCCTACAAAATCATCCTGTTTCCTTGAAGATATACGCGTCCCTTTTGATTGCAAACAGCAAATCAATACTAAACATTAAAAGCAGAAGACATCCCACGTAATTGTATTTAAAAAGACGTCCATACAAAGTTATTTTAGGTGGAATCCGTGCTAAACACTCTGCAAGTTCACTGAAAGTCTTCATTTGCAATTTTTGCTTACCCTGCAACGCCTCGCTTTCATGACTAGGCACCAGTTTTTTCCCGCGTGTCCGCCATTTGTGAATACGGTGTATAGCAATTTCACTTATCTCCAAAAAATTGAACCCCATATACCAGATAGTTTCGGAGAAAGTCTCTTTAAAAAAGGCCCAAAATTTACAAAGAATGCATGAGCTCAAGAAGTTTTTTAACTGTTGCTATTTTCTTTGTTCTGATTGTAAAGAGCTGAAACTTGCAAAAACCCTATCAATTAACCAGCTCCTTTAATTTTTGAACCTAATTGGTATATACGGCTACATCTTCCATGGGTTAACTCGTATGCTAATGAGCAAAAATGTAAACAATGACGTCACAATGAATCCGCCTATTCAGTCCCAACACATGAAAACCTTCCAACAAAGTATGCGTTCAGTCTTTGACATGAATAGTGCGAAAAACGGCGGAGTTAACTGAACGCCGTTAAAAAGACGTATCGCATGCCATTTTTGGAACTTCATGAACTGAAATTTTGGTAAAGATGGATTCTTTCCCGCTTTCTCGAGTCTGGGTTTGTTTGTCGCTCTTGTTTGCAGGTGTTTCCTCATGATCAGAATTCCTTCCACCTGCCAGATTGGGTTGATCTTCTTCCAAACTAAAGTTAATAGCACCAGTATCTTGGAAAGAGGTTGAAATTGACGGCATATTCATTTTTCCGGTTTGCAGTTGGTTCTTAAAAACATTCCTTCCAGAAAATCTACGTACTTCTCCTTGCAAGTCATTCAAAGGCAGCAGCAAGGTCAGACAGCAGGAGAAAGAGCACTTGGGATTCTTGAGCCATTCTTTTATAAAGCGATAGATGTATACAATATACTGAACTGCAAAGAAACAGAAGTCATAGTTACGTATACTTAAGACTGTCTGCAGTCATCTCATCCCTTTCAAAAACACCTTAAAACGTACTCGTTGACTTGACGTTTTATAAGGCGGAGTCCTCTCTTGTACTGTCTTAACACTTCTCTATGAATATTTTAGCTTTAAGTTCAAGTCTTATGGATTACGTACTTACTGACGGACGGACTTAGGAGTACTTACATACACACTTACTTACTTGCTTTAATACTCATAACAACTTGTGAAGATCACTGACTGTGAGAAACGCGATCAATTGTGAACCGTGCAATTTTTGCAAGGACGCGAAAAATCCCAAATTTTGCAGCTGCTTGCAAACCTGGACATAAGCGCTACCTCAAGGCATTACAGTAATACAGTTAGAGTTAGAATGGCAATTGAAGCTAAACCGATTTACATCGTGAACTAAATTTTGGCCGCAAACAAAAAGCAAGAACGGAGCTGACATTGCCCTACTTGTGATTGGGGAGCTTAAGCAACGACGACGGAAAAGACGACGTCTATTTGGACCCGCTCAAATTGTCAAATGTAGGCAACGTTTCTGTTTTTTTTTTTTGACGTTAATGTTTTCGTCGTCGTGGTTGCTTAGGCTTGCTGTTCACGTTCCATTTGAATTGTAAATATCAACCCCGAGGATTAATTAATGATATGCAAATGAGTATATATAATAGGAAATACTGGTACATTTTGTCCCATTCACTTCACTTTGCCCGACACGAAGGGCCATTGGCGACTCACCCGCCCACCCCAGTGAGTAAGTGGGGTTCCAGATTTTGATCTTGGGCTTGTCCCAGGTAAGATTGATTCCCCTATAATGTCATTAATAACAATACCCAGGGTTGAATTTTATACTATTGAAGGGTAAATTAATAACTGAAGTAGTTTTAGACTTAACTTACCTACGAGAAGACCGATTACCAAAGAATTTGCTCCAAACACCAGTACCTTGAACATGATGTTATCCACATATAGATCGATTGAGGCTGGAATGTTCTCGCTGTTTATCTTACTCACAGCTCCTATTCCCAAGTTTACAAAGGTCACAGCAAGAGATATCAGCATTAGTCTGTTCTCGAATGGATCCGCTATAGGGCTGGCATAAGCAAAAAACATTCCATACAGTCCTGACATGACGCAAGCCAGTCCGACATATGCTCTGCTTTCACCACCAACCAAGATCAGACCTGATGTGAGGACCACCTTCCGCACTGTATCGACCAGCTCCCAGTACCACGAGCGCGGATGGTAGTTTTCGAAAAGGAATCGTAAGCCTGTGGTGAGTTCGCTGCTTTTCACTTCGATATCAGGATTTTGGTGCTCGTATTCCATTTTATTCTGACTTGCAACGGTCATTCGCGCTTTCCAGAGAGCTATAAGTGATGCTGTGGGAAGAAGTAGTACGTAAGCGACTGCAATGTAGGCAACGATGACTGATCGACTGTAGTTTGTACTCTCACAGTCGATACTGTAGTCAGTCTTAAGAAACTTTTGACAGTGGGTTTTCGTTTTGTCCGAACAAAGCAGACGGCAAGTTGGGGGAAGCACACTAGCTGTGTTGGAGCAGGTACTGAGATATGTCACGTACAGGAAGAAAAACAGGTTTCTCAAGATCAGCTCTTTCGTTTGAGAAGATTTCCTTAACTTTTCTTCTTTGGAGGAAGCACTCCGTTCGAGTAGAAGCTTTCGTAAACAATAAATGAGAATGGTCACAATGATGGCTGTGGCATTCATTGCAAGAATTGCAAACAAGCTCTTAAAGGCATTGACCTTTAATTCAGGAAAGATGCAGTGAAGAGGCGCAATCTGGAATACATTAAGCTGTATCATCTCCGAATATTTTCCAATGACAGAAAGAGAATCTGGCCATTTGATATACGAAAATGTCTGTAACAGTCCATCAGTTACCTGGTAAAAGCCAATGACAATTTTCAGACTTCCAAGTATTATATCCACTGTGGATCTTCCTTTTTTCGCATTCTCTTGCTTCTTTTTACTTGACCATAGGATAACTAAAATAACGACCAGGATAACTGCCATCACTATAGACAGTTGTCCGATCATCCATTTCCTAGTTGGGCACTTTTTGCACGTTTGAAACTGTTTATAGTAGCCATCACTACAAATTTCACACAGCGGTCCTTGATAGCCGTCAGCGCAAGAAGAATTGAAACCACCATAGCAAGCCTCTTGTTGTGGGCATTTGTGCGGCATAGGAACAGTGTATGGGAACTCGATAAGGGAAGCATTAGTTGAGGAAGAGTTCCTTGAATCCAAGAGATTACGTGCAAATGATTCATAAAATTGCATGTGGGTCTGATTCTCCCATTTCCACCAGTAACCCTTCTTCAGCTTAACATGGTCATCCACACATTGTAATCCTTCGTCATCGCATTGTGTGCAGCCTTCAAAAAGATGGGTACGATGAAATCCTTTCAAACAGCTGCAAGCTCTAAACCCAGCAAATGTGGAAGTATCTGTGCCTACAAAAAGCAAAAGTCCGTTAGCTGAATTAAGAGGCCCTGACTGTAAATATCGAGAATCCGCCGACAGTTGCAAAATTTCATAATTTATTTTATTCTACCTAAAAGACCCTTTTGGTGAACTATTTTCAAAAATGGAAATAACAAGTTCCATCGCGCTTTGCTTTTTCCGAAAAATCCAAAAGTTCAAATTACGCCGAGGCGGCCCCCGACCCCCCGGAAAAACAATGACAAATTCTGCAACTTCGCCTTGAATTACAAAGACATACGTAATTGACAAAGTAGAGGCAAAGTCCTACAGATATGTGTAAATAAATTCTCAATTCAAAACAGATATATATAGTCCTTATGCATGTTTACGTCAGACTAGCAAATTTTACCACCAAAGCTCGTTTTGAAAGTTTAAAAGTTACAGAATTTTGCATAAATGAATTCCAATGGGAGTAGAGTTGAAAAGAATACCCACGCTCATTAATTGAAAGTAAGAAGAAGTTTGCTTAGAAACGAGGCTTGGTGGTGAAATTTGCTCGCCTGCCTTAATCAAGCATAAGTGCCATTGCCAAAGCCGAGTATATCGTTTCTCTCCGCCTTTATTTTCTGACCAGTTTTATCTGAACTTCACCGACGTCATCAGATACTTCGAACAGGGTAACAGGGATAACGCAGTTTCTGTACACTTTTTACATTCCATCTTCTAACTAGGTAGTGAGTTTGATTCTCACCTGGAGCTCGGAAAATTTTTCTGAGCTTTCTGATGTTTGAATTCTCCTTTTTCTTAAATTCCTAATTACAATCAAACCAGGTCAAGCGTACCACCATAGATTCTAATGATGAATTCATATACAACTTATTGACCGAGAGTGAGGTCATTGCAGGGAAATCCCTGTAATGACCGAACAGACGAGGTTAATAAGTGGCCATTTAGCGCTCTTAATGTATAACACCGCAAGTAATTGAGCCTGCGATCAATTAAAACCAATAACTGGTCGGTACATAACTTCAAAAAAACAAGTCACCTCAATGAGTTGTACTCTTGAGCCCGCGATACAGACATGTGACACTGGTCAGCAGATACCCTTTTTCACAGCTATCAATTGACCATAACATGGATGTCCACTATCAAGTTAAACACAGATTGTATATGCCTTGGACACCTAGCGAATAATGCCCGGCATTACAAGAAACTTTTGCCAGCTTAGCAGCGAATCAGAACACTCGTACTTTTGTAGCCATATAATAATTGACATTTTGAAGTCTTGAGGTGATTCTTATCATTCTTACTAGCATCCAATGAGCAGTAAAATCACCAGCAGATGGTTAAAATTATCTTGTTTTCTTCTTGAGTTTGATAAACAATTTTGTTCGAAAGCTATCGAAAACGATTTCTCTTGATCTGATAGAATGCTGAGAATCTGCAGCGCGAAATTCACTGCCCATTGAGCATGCAAGCATACAGATTTGAATTTGATACCCCTGCCACTATTAATATAATCTGTGTGGTCTTTGCCTGCGTCGCAGACGCTCTAAACCTTCTATATAGAGCGTCTGCGAATTAGTGCACAACATCGTGTTCGAATCCCGCAGAGTCGCAAGGACATATGTCGGCGTTTTTGGTTGGCTAGTTTCTTACGCAGTTTGTGATTAGTCCGATTTGAATTAAGTGTTGAAAAGCCAAACACAACTAATAGCTCGTGACAAGAGAGATTGAGCTCGTGATAGTGTGAGACGTGACCTTAGAGTCAGCTTGAACAACAGAGGTTTTTCTTGCTCTCTTTTTGCGTAGTTTATGCAGTGCACGGAGTATTTTACACTTTGACTGAGCAAATTTTTTTTGCCTCCTTGAGTCTCACATTTAGAGGTTATGAAGCTGGTCTGTTCCATGCATATTGAATAATTAGTTCCTGTTGTTTATGTTTCGGCAAATGCTTTTTGACAGGATTTAATCACAGCAGCAGTTTTACCATTAATTGATTTTCTTTTACCTTTGTTTAAGCCTCAAGCTTTTTTATTGCGGCTAAATAACCTCAGTTTCCTTGGTTTTCTCCGAAAAGCCTGGACCTGAATAGCCACATGTGTGTAGTTTTTTTTTGGCCGTGAACATCATGATTTCCTGATTTGTTTTGACGCTAGAGCTGTCGACTAGATTGCAGAATACGGGGCAGAGGATCTGCAGCGATTGGAAGAAGCTAGAAAACCAGTCGACAAATTTACAAGCAAATTCTGTCCTTGAAGGAATTCTCTCAAAGCATTTTTTTTGTTCAGAAGAAGACTTTAAAGTTCGAACTGCTGTTACATTGTTTACTTTAAGCGATCCCTGCCAACTCCCTTCTGTCAATTTTGACATGCCACTGCGCCCATCCGGCCCATTAGGCCAATCGTGAGGTGCATAAGAAACCCGTGAGAAACCCGCCTATCAGAAACGCTCACATATGTCCTTGCGACTCTGCAGGATATTAGAACGAGCTTTTGTGCACTAATTCGCAGACGGACTATACAAATGATTTTGACGAGTGCGTGGGCCGGCTTCAACGCAGGCTATGTGGTCTATGTTTGACTGGGTTTGACTATAAAATATGCCTACCTTGTGGACAAGCAATGCACTCACGGGCGCTCTTGCCAGGCGCCATATTGTATGGGACAAAAGTTCCATTTGGACATCTGAGGCAGCTGTCATTGACAAACGCTATGGTATCCGAATAGAAGCCTCCTATAAGAAAGTGTAATCAGAGTGAAAGAGTCCTTGAAATAAATTTAATTTTGTAGTCCCAAAATATGACCAAAATGGATCTACGCAGCCGACAAAAAGTAGTTAGTTTGGGGTAAAACTGCCGGGTTGCAAAATCCTTGGGTTTTGGTCTGACGTTCCTTTTTAAATTCCATGACCTACAAATAAGGTAGAATTCCCGTAGTATGATTGGTTTCTGTGGGCGTACTTTACTACTGCATGGCATAAGGAAAAAAAGCTAGCATCTGGTCGTATTAAGAGTCCAATAAATGCGGCTGGCTGGATACTGGGGAAGTTAGTAACAGTTTTTGCGTTTTTATGAATAGAGACAAAAGGGAGTTTGAGCATCACGTATACGGCAAACGGCAAACGTCAGGTTCAGGTTTAGAATTTCTCAAAATAGAAAATGAGCAGATAAAAACAGCTCCAAACAATTCTTATGGATAAAAAATTGCATGAAACTACTAATTCATGTGTTGAAACTAGGGTATCTAAAAGATAGTAATGCTGCGGCACATTCTGTTGATACTGGCATTAGTTAGGCAATGGGACTTAAAGTAATCGAAAATGACATTGAATGTCCCATTTCCATGTTGGAAAGTACTAGAATAATTACTCTCAGTCTATAGAGAGAACTCGCGGGAACGTTGTTTAGAAAATGATCAAGTGGTTATCAACTCTGGTTTTCCCACAGTAAATTGTAGGAAATGATAGAAATTCAGATTGTTTATCGATATATTTAATATACGGTGTACTATCTTTTCTCTGGAAACACGATACTTTTCTTGCTGTTTATTGCACTTTATTAAGTAACAGTTATATAGCTATATATTTATAGAAAACAACAACACAAAAAACGGAAAAAAAAGAAAGAAGGAAAAAAAGAGTTAAGTAGGATTCGAACCCGGCACCATCGGCCCGACGCGACTACACCTATCCACTACACCAAAGAGACTGCACAGGTACTTCTGGGAACAGTCTTTAATTTAATGCCTTTTCCATGAAACTTCCGCCGGCAAGATGATCGCCAGCCACATTAATCGAGCTATTAACAGTACAAAACAATGTAAACGCATATTCCACGGCAATGAATGAATGAAAGAACATAATTATGCTTTTCAAAACGCCGATACACGTCCTCGTCTGTAACGTAGGACACAAAACATATGTTTTGTTATCTCGATTTCCGCTGTTATTTTGAAGCGAATGGTCAAAATCACATCCATTTTCGGCTCATACAGGTTCTTAACAATAGCATGGCATGACATTTTCTTACTTTCACATCACCTTCTAGGAAGCTGGAATTTGTATATACCCCGTGTTGCAGAGTCGAAGAGCAAATGCTCATCTTCTCGTCAGGTTTAACACGTGGATGAGTTAAAGGCTCTTGAATTAAAAACCAATCCCCAAGTTAACCATCGTACTCATCTGAAAGACTCCTGCGTGTCTTAAATTTGGTAAGACCTCTAACCGTGCTGTAGAAAATTTCCTACAAAGAAAACTCTGAGTTTGGGCAGCGAACGATGCGAACTTCCACGTGTTTTTATTTGAGTTGTCCGTGGCGCAATGCACTCTGGTTAAATGCAATGCATTGTGGTAAAAAGTGTGGTTAAGTGCAATGCATTGTGGTAAAAAGTGATGAATTCGAGAATTCATCGCCCCTTATATATTTCCTTTAAATTCTGATTATGTTGCTGCTCGCTCCCTGCGGTCGCTCCGCAGCAATAATGAAAAGTAAACGACAATTAAAGGGAAAGTGCTGGGCCCAACGTTGTTCACCGTGTACACCAATGACCTACCAAGTGCTGTTACCTCTGGCTCTGTCTTTATGTAAGCGGATGACACCACCATTTATTGCATTGGGGACACTGTTAATAACACTGTCACTTCTTTAAATAAAGCTTTGTCGGAACTGAACAGTTGGTGCCTAGAGAACTCTTTAACTCCTGACTCGGCAAAGTGCGAAGCTATGCTATTGATGAGAAAACCGCACTTCGGGCGGCTAAATTCTGTGTCTATTAGAGAGGATCGGATCGAGTGGAACACACTCGTCTTTTGGGCGTTACTATCGATGACAGGCTTTCCTGGTCACATCACATTACAGATGTAAAAGAGAATTTTGTAAACAAACTGAACCTACTGAAAAGGAGTTTGTTCTTGTGCAGAAACGCCCTATTGGACTTGTGCTCCAAGATAATATTACCATCATTTTTGTATGGACTTGGTTGTTTTGGGGCGGATGCCCTAATGCGGACCTTCTACATTCACTGCAAGTACTTGACTGTAGGGTAGCCAGAATAATATACAACTTGCCCCGCGGTGTGCCTACTGATGAAATATACAGAAATTTGAATTGGAATACTTTAACCTTATATTATAAAATTATTAATTAATTAAACTACTCCATAGCGTTTTTATCGGTTTAGCACCTGCGGCTCTATCATACTTGACAAATAAATCTTGCACTGCGTACAATTTCAGAAGTAGTAATAACAAAATTGTCCAGCGTTTTCACTCGCAGTATCTTAAAAACTCTATTAGCTATAGAGACGCTATTCTTTGAAACACGGTTCTCGACTCATCTTACCGGCCAGTTTACTGTTTTTTATCGCAAAGTGAAGAAGGACTCTTATTTTAAGGAACTTGATTTTAGCGCACAGTCGGTCCAGTCGCTGCCTGAGCACTACCAAGAGTTTAAATGTTTTTAACTGTTTTATATTTTAAATGCTGTAGTCAATTTACTTAGTGGTAACTAATGTAAATTCATTTTAACATTGTATCTTTTTTAAAATCTTACTGTATATTTTTAGAGTTTTTGTTGTAGTTGTATTTTGTAAGTAACGTTTTCCCTATTTTTATTATAGTTCTATATTCATTTGTAATTGCTTTTACACGACCCCACAAGCTTTGACCTTTTTATGTTGTTGTTGGGAAACTTAGTCACGTGATTCAAATTCGCGTTTGCCGTTAGACGTAAACGTGATGCTTATCTTCTCTATTGTCGAAGTCAGTAAAACACCAGAAAGAAAGAACAAGGCCAATTAATATCCAGCCATCTTGTTGACATTCTTCTCGGGCAATTCAAAGGCAAGTAGACCGTTTAACTGATAAATTCAGCTCACAATGTGTCACAACAGATTTTTACAAAGAGAAAACTATTAAATAAATAGTTTTCTAGTAGCAATACAATAGAAATAAAATAATGTAACTCGGTGACGGTTTTGAAAATGTTGAAAAATCTTACAGCAAGTGTTTCATCAATTTTAAAATTATTAGCGCTTAATTCGCGCTCGAATTCTACCACTGCTGTTTGTGATTTAAATTAATCATCACCCATAAGACAAGAAAAAGCTCTAATAATAATCATGTAACACAATATATATTTTACCTGCAGGACATTCGACGCATTCTAGACGACTTGCATTGACAAAAGTACCAAGCGGACATGGTCGTAAATTGTACTCATCGAGAGTTGCATCCGCAAAACCAGCTCGCTTAAATGAATCGCGTAGTGCTGTGTGGTTGCCCGAATATTTCCGAAGGTCAAGGGAAGTAGAGTTATCTTGACCCAAGCCGCTAAATTGAAAGATATAAATGTTTCAGTAAAAAACTTTTATAAAATGTAAGAAATTGACATTAAGGTCGTTCAAAAGATCGGTACATCTTACTGATCGAACGTGTTTTGTATTATTTGATGGTTTTTAGTAACTGCACTTTTAATTACTTAATTATACATCTAGCCGGATTTTTGATAACGTTATCGCCAAATGGACCTCTTGCGTCGAGCAATTTTTTCGTCCAAAAACTTCAAAGTAGCTATTATATAAACTAAGAGTGCAACCATTGCTTTTTTTCTTCTTCTCCTTTCCTTCTCCTCGCTCTTTCGTTATCTCCTTTCTTTTTCCTTCGTTACTATGATTTTGGAGCTTCTCGGGCTTAAGAAACCTGCCTTTTGACGCTTTTTCACTCAAATGACTGCAAATTTCGTTAGGTTGCTTTTCAAAAAATCGGCCAGACATATTCTCATAATTATATGAAATAAAGAAAGAAGACATATCTAGATTGAGTTCACAAGTTTAAAGCCGAGGTTGCTAAACGTAGCCGGCAATCTGTGGAATTTTCAGGTTTTTGCAAGTAATATCTACGTAATATCCAAAGAAATAGCAGTCATCAAAATCTGCAAAATTGCCAAAGAGGGAAGCAAATGAGTTAACAAGCTTTTAAATGAAGCTATTCTGTATAATATATTGGGCTCAAATGCTCAAAGATAACTAATATTGTCGAACCATCATGTGCGACCTGCTCTCGTAAGCGAAAATCCCCCACTCTGTGAAACGTTGCATGGATCTCTGTGGGTCGATACGGCCGCACATTCGCATCAGGTTTTAAGACGTGCATTTTCCAAAGAGTTCCAGACATTCACTTTCTTTAAGATTTCTGTAGCATCGTACATTCAGTAAGCAAGCCATCTTCTCGAAATCCCTTTATGGACTTTCTTAAATCTGTTACTCTTTTCGTGATTTTCATTTCCCTACTAACTTAATAATGGAACTGAATGAAGTGCAATTTGGTCTAAAATCATGCACGTGATCTGAATAACAAGAACTTGAATCAAATGGGAGAACACTCATCGTACCTTAGAAGTTCCCCGCAAAGATTCCCTTCCAAAAGGTAGATGTGTCCACCCCTCTTTTCGGAAGCCCCCACTTTTGGTTCGATTCTCGTTAGCGACCACTATAGCTTGGCTTTTTGGGTGGTCGCTTATGAGAGGTTCGACTTCTATCGCAACGCCCTTTCAACATCAAGACGGGTGATATTTATAAACGTTTGACCAGAGAATAATAAGTATATGAAAAAAAGAGACAGAAAAGGGACAAAAAACCAGATTCACCTATACCTCACGATGCGAGTTGAGAAAATGGGTTCGGCAAAATTTAACTTCATCTCTTCAGTATAGTTTACATCGGGTTGATGCATGAAGCTAAAGTAACTCAGTAAATGAAGGTCAAAGACACTGCAACCGCATATTAGAATATTTGTTACGGTATTAAAGAAAGTTACGAACAGATAAATAGTGCAGCGCTCTCGTTGAAATGAATCCAAAACTTTCATGGTACCAATTTTACCATCATTCATGGTTCTACAAAAGAAAACGAAAAGTGGATAGTTAAGTCTTTCTTATTGATATCAAAGCCCGATTCCCTACGAGCGAAGCAACTGATATCAAGGACACCAATAATTGAGTTTTATATAGAAAACTTCATGAAAAGTTTGCTCGTACGGTGTTGCACAATTGCAAGCTATTAACGTATCCTAAATTGAAAGAGTGAGCGCAGTGAACGAGTGTCATTCCTGATAAAATGACAGCGAGTGCATATGTTTATCATATACATCCTTATACTTACATATTTTGTGGGGCTATTGCTAAGGAAGATGCAGAACTCCCTCTGTTATGTATTTGGCCAATTTCTACAACAGTTCTGATAATATACCAATCGTACTTACATGACGGAATTTAGGTTACAGAAATCATGAAAAGACAAGACTTTGAGGCTCACTGCTTTTAACTGAGTGCGAATCATGAAGCTGCAAAGAACGAAAAGTTAACTGAAATGTTTTCATTACCTTTAACGTTTGTTGGTATCATCTACTGTATTACCACTACTATTTGTTCCCATAATTATTACTTAATGTTAATTCTTTTGAAGTCCTTTCAAGCTGTCACACCTACTTACATATCAGCGCTACTTGTACCTTGAATTAGCAACCAGCTTAAAGGTAAAAACAGTTCACAGTTGCCACGTGTCAATACCACCTTTTATGGCACACCCTCTTTCAAATTTTTAGCACACAAACTATAAAATAGTTAAGACGACGATCATAATTTTATTCAAAATTTGTATCTCCGCAGTTCCCATGATCTTCATGTCTCGTTCCTTTCACGAGTTAAGATAAACTCAGCAAATTGACCTGCTCCCAATGTGTGGGTCTTCATAGCTCAAATGGTAGAGCACTGCAGCGCTAACTTACATTACAATAATCACTATGGCGATCATATCTTCATTGAAATTTGTATTTCTGCAGTTCGCATCATCTTTATGTCTCATTCCTTTCACGGGTTAAGATTAACTCAAAAAATTGGTCTGCTGTCAACGTGTGGCTCTTCACATCCTCGGAGACCCAGGGACAGTAAGTCGGGCCCGGAGAAAAGGTGCGACGAAAGTTTTCAAGCATGGGCGGAAGAGCCCATGGGTATCGACTCTTACCGGACCATTTCCAAACGGTCAAGCGAATGCTGGCTCCTGATTGGGCACAAAAAATGCTTTGTATTACTGTGCCCAATCGGCAAACAGTTTCTCCTGAGTTCTTTTCGAGATTTCTTACACGAGGGCTATTATCTCGCCACAGTTGCCCGGTTCATTCACCAAGCTTTTCTAACCAGAAACGAAGGATGCTATCAGCATGAGCATTTTGCACTGAGACAATTCTGTTTCTGACGGATCACAATGTATCGTAAATAGTAGGAAGTTTAAGATGCAGCAGCAACGAGAAAGTAAAAAAAGCAATTGACAAGGCAAAACAACAACTTTGCACGTGCATAACGCTTTTTTGTAATTTCTTTGTCTCCACTGCTCGACTACCACTTGAAAACGCCTAATTTCACGTTTTAAGAAGGACGGAAACAAGCAATGAAAGAATTTTCTTTCTCTTTATGAACTTGAATATGGTTGATAGAAATTCAGCTCCAGAAGAGTTCGCTTGCATTTGACAACGTAAGCGAGTTGGAATAATCACGATAGAGACTGAAAAAAATCTGAGTTCACTTTTCATGCGACGTTTTCGTGGCTGTCAACTATCGTGGCATCTTAAACTCCCTAATATTTACGAAGGCGTGATCGATACAAGCTTGATTACCCGTTGTAAGCTCAAGCTTATATTTTTGGAAAAGCGTCTTTAGTTTTCGGGTAGACACTATTTTGAAATGAAGAGTTTTTATCAAACTGAAAGTTTCCTGACTACGTGCATTTCTTTGGTACATGAGCCAGACAAGCCGTTATCGAGTGAATAGCCGTCGTGTATGAAATCACAAAAAGAACTCAGGAGATGCTGTTCGCCGATTGGGCACAATAATACAAAGCATTTTTTGTGCCCAATAAGGAGCCAGCATTTGCTTGACTGTTTGGAAATGGTCCGGTGAGAGTCGGTACCCAGGGGCTTTTCCTCCCATGCTTGAAAACGTTCGTCGCGCCTTTTCTCCCGGCCGGACATCCCCCCTAGGTCTCCGAGGATGGGGTCTTCATAGCTCAATGGAAGAGTACTGCAGCGCTAACGCAGAGGCCATGAGCTCGAGTCCCGTTGAAGTCCCGCAAAATTTTTTGGGTTTATTTGCAATCGCTTAACTTGCAATAACCATTGCGACGATCAAATCTTCATTCAAAATTTGTATTTTGGCAGTTCACATCATCTTCATGATCTTAGAGCTACCGCTACTATGGCTCACTTTACAAACTGAACTTTGTCTGAACTTTGTGAGCTAGCTTGATTACTTATTCTTACTTTTTTGATTAGCATGTATATAAATCTGTCTGGATTTGATAAAACGTACCTCCAGAAATTTCAAGTACGTTTTAACAATTTGACCCTTGAGGCCAATTAAAAGCAGTTGAAAGTCGCTAGTTACGGCTTAAAACGGACGAATTAATCGCTGGCAACACACGAAAAGTTGCTCTTGGCAAAAGTGACAGATTTGTAACGAAATGAACAACATTTAAAAGCACACACATAATGACCTTTCAGTCTCTTAAACTATGAGGCTCATAGCGAGATGCCCGATTAAAACAGATCTAGAATCCACCTTTCTTGACCCCGCAATCGGTTGTCTAAGACAAAATCACTTCAACTAAACACTTACAAAGCGTTTTCATGCTTGTACACAATATTCTTATAACACGAGCGCCACGACATACCTGAAACCTGTCTGACAACAACTTCAGGAAATCACACAATTAACCACGTTCGTGGCACTGATAAAACTATCCACAACCAACCAGACAAAATGTGTCCACACTTAATACGGGCGAAATATCATCACATTACTCTCTCTCAATAACTCTCTGTTTCTCCACTAAATCATCACATGTAAACTTTGCTGACACAGTCGATTTATTCAAGATCCCGGATGTAGACGAGCCGTTTTGAAAGGGACACATGGACGCCGGCCTTCAAAACCAATTTTTACTAAGTCTCTGGCCTGGTTAGAAATCAGCATCAATTTTGCTCTCGCCGAATAGGTTTGACCCCTAAAAGCTACTTTTTGAGGCTAGAGACTCGTCACCGCCCACATCAAAGCTAGCAATAAGATGCCTTTCCGTCTCAAGCCCGAGATCAGTGTTTCACACGTTTAGCCAAAATGAGACGAAATACGGGAGCATATTGGACGATGGCAGACCTTGCCATTCGTGAGACTTGTTCCTTCAGAAGGCTTAATGATGCCTTCCGGAAAACTTTGCTACAGGCGGCCAAAGAGAAACCTAGAAAATTAACCGACCACGAAAAACAACTTCTACCGCGCGCGCTGATTTCAAATGTCATAGTGTTTTATGACAAGGAGAGAATTATGGGAAATGATAGGTAGGGGAGAGCTTCGAGGGCGGGGGTGCGGAAGATGTAAACAGCATATTAAACACATGTTTTTTGATCTACTGCAGCTTTTAAGGGGGTTTTCGTACTGAAACGATCATTAAAAAAAAGATGGTCAAGTACTGAACAAGCCTCAAATGAGACTGTTGCTAAAAATTTCTGGAGGTGCCTTTTATCAAATCCAGACAGACATATAATATTTTTTATAATTTGACATTATTCTGCGTGATTAAAGGTATCTCTAGGAGATACTAGCGCTTATGTGCTACTCTTCTACCCGATTTCAAATAAAGCTTTGCTGCTACTACTGTTACTAACTACTACTACTTGAGCGAAAGTTACGAGCCATTCATAAACAATACAAATCGTCTTATACTTACATCAAGACCTTCTTATGTGGTTTCTCTGGGATACTGAAAGCCCGATGCCCAATAGTCTTGATAGGATTATCTGAAAGCACTCTAAAGGTATGAATTGCGTGAGTGTATGTTAGTATATAAAAAGCTGCTAGTCGAAACGCCAGTAATCAATTGACCAATCAGTCCTTGAAATACATTGTAAGACGAGAAACTTTCCCTGAGTTTGTGAGCCACTTGAGCGGATTAAGAGAAAGTAACTGGACAGGTCCAATTTTTCTCTCTCTTGGACTAGTTCGTAAGATCTTGAATATAAATTAGAAGAATGGATCTTCAGCTAGGACCTTATAGTCCAGTACAAAGTAAATATCCATTTCCCGCTCCCTCGAACATTTTTGCAGACATGTATCGTTTTAATCCTTTCTCTAAGGGTATTTCAGAAATGGATGTTTGCAGGATTGATTGCTGGCTGTGGCTGTACGAACGCATTCTATATTTTCACTGAAAGCCACTTGTCATCTACGTCTGAAGTTGAAAGGAAACCTTTCTAAATATTTGTGATAATACAATTCAGCTACAAAACTAAAAGTATTTTCATTTTGCCTGTTAAACGAAGTACCAGCTTACACTAAGGGGGTGTTTACATGACACCGGGGCGAGTTCACTCCAGTTCCCTCTCATGGCTCTATATTTGTTTACATGACACCACCACAAAATGTCATGCTAGCGCGGTTTCATAAGCGCGAGTCACCCCGGCGTGAGCTCACCCTGGTTGTTGTACTGGGGCAAGAATTTCACTCCGGTACGAAATCTCGCAACGGTATCATGGAAACGCGAAATGACTACCCGTTTCGGTATGAAATCGGTCTGCCGGTAGACTGGAACTGGGTAGCGCATGCGTAATGTTTGCGATTTTGAAGCACATGTGTATTTTATCAACATGAACTGTACATTCAAATAACAAGATATGAAATGACCCTGTCATCATGTAAACACGATGCAAAATCGAAAAGTCATCCCGGTATGAAACTCGCGCCGGTACGAAATGGTTTTGATATAACAAAGTTACTTAATCACAAAATGAGTGGCACCATGGTGCAGTGGTCTTTGAGTTGCCTTTTCGTGCAGATGAAGTAGATTCGACTCCTGGAGTGTTTTCTGTTACTTTGCTGTATTTTTGGTTTAGTTTTAGTTTTTTTAATCCAGTTTTCCTCTTTGGCTTGTTTCCCTTTAATCTTACTGCTGACCCTTTCAAGCGTTGCGAGGTTTTTAGGATACCGTATTTTAGTAACCTTGGTTTCTTATGTGGTTTATTTTCTGGGCTTTTACGCTGTTTAATTGGCTTTTTGAGTAACTGATTGTGTGGTAGTTTTGATTTCTCTTTTAAAGCGCTAATTGCTTATAAATTGTTGCTTTTTGCTCAATCCTTCGAGCTTGCTGCTGTTGCTACAGTTGTTTTGCTGTTGTCATCGTGTGGTGTTGCGCTTGAAGACATTTTTGAAAACTGTTTGGTATTTACTTTAAAAAAAACAGTTTGCTGCATTTAATTGTTAAAATTTGTCTCTGGTAATATAAGGTTTTGTGGGTGAAGCGAAATTTATTGGAGATCCATTGGCTTTGAAAAGCTAACCTATACACACTTAAAGCCTAGTTTATCTTTTGATGAACTTCCTATTGCTGTGTCCGAACTACTCAATGTCGCCGTGCACCGGCCCTTAAAAGTGTGACCGGTCGATATGAATTCTCTGAAAATTTGCCCGCCGATAGAAAGGAATCTTTAAAATTCGTTAAACCACTGGACGTTTCATCCAAACAAAGTACAAACACTGGTGTTCTATGACAATAGGGATCTCAAATCGGGATCGCGACAATAGGGGCTGTCAAATCTAAGAAATTGGAGCAATATATCCGTGAGATATTCGAAATTTTTACCCATCACTTCGACCAACACTTTGTTCGCCATTTTGAAAGTCACTGACACGAAATGTGACGTCATACTGTTAAACATGATCATCGTCAACATAACTTTATCGTGAGAATTAATTTAATTAATTACACTGTCCTGCAGGTAGCAAAAGCTAATCTCAGGGGGACAGAGGAACAACTAAGGGTTAGGGTTTAACTTTTTTAAATATATATTATTACATAGATATATTTAAATTAATATTAATGCATAAAGAAAGAATTAAGGAAGCGATAACGTTAAAGGCTCGAGAGAAAAATCAGTTGAAACTTTGATGACCTAATCATAATTATATAGCCAGTCCATCTTTTTGTATGATGATAGGTGCTGATATATAGTCATTTTCTCCCCGGAGTAGTCAATCGATAAAAATCGGTATCGATAAAAATCGATAGCAATCAAGTAATTTTATCGATTGATAACGGAAATCGGTGAAAACCGATAAACTAAATTGCTCTGTCAAATCGATGTTATCGATTTTTCATGATTTTGACGATTTATAACGGTAAAGTCCGAGATTGTTGTTTTTTGGCATAAGTACAGCTGAGAAAACACATCCACGAGTAACAACTGATCAACAAACGTGAAAATTAGAAATGTGGAAACCATTACAGAGACAAGATTCTCTCTAAAACCGTGCCCCTTTTGTACATAATAACAGAAACGGTTCGGTTTTATAATTACATGCGCAGTTCTCGCAAGCAAGTACCAGGAAAAATACAATCTTATGATAAAAGATTTCCCAGCCGGAATTTTAGACATCCTCTAGGGTCAAAGGGATGCCCGAAATTCACCGTTTTCCGTTATCAATCGATAAAATCACTTGCTTGCTAACGACTTTTGTCGATTTCGTTTTTACTACACGCGGAACTGAGGCTATTTTGAAAGGGCAGCAGCAAAGTGATAATAAATTGTTTTATCCTTCGACTTTCAATTGCAACTCAATTGTCAACAAATTCACTGTTTGCATGAAATCAGTTTCAATTTTGGATGAACAGAAGAACAGATATATCTTCCGATAAAAATTGATGGAATCGGTAAAATCTAGGAGAAGTTGGCGAATTTCTCTTTTAAATTCCTTCGTGTGTAGATTTCGCAAGCTACACGTTATCTCATTCCACAGTTTTACGCCAAATCTGAAAAACGATCGAACGCTTATGTTACTCTAACCTAGTGCTTTGTACGTTAAAATTCCTTCCAAGTATTTTTAAAATTTGCCATGTTTCGTTCGAAATACTCATGGTTACCTGTGATAATGGTGTAAGTACTACCGTAGTACTTACACCATTATCACAGTCATATGATGATTACCTGTGCTCAGTGTGCCTTGATTATTCATAATGGATTTTCGTTCTCTATAAAAGTTCTAACAATACGAGGTAACTACTTTCTTTACTCTTCCTTGGGTGGGTCATCATAACGTCTTTTCAGTAAAGCGGACCATACTTACAATATATCAAGCTGTCTTTGGGCTTTGAAAGCTTCACCACTGATTGACTGAAGGTGATTCTCATTGAGCAATCTATTATTCAGCAAAACAGAATGCAATATCATGATGGTATCTAATAGTTTATCTACGAGGGCGTGCTGTTGAAGCCACAGTGTGAACGAGTTGTTTGAGGTCTAAGAGCGCTAGACTTGCAGTTCGCAAGGCCCCGAGTTCAAAACTCGCTCTGACCGCTAGCTGGATTTGTTCTCGGTCGTTCCGGGTTCAAATCCCGGGCCACACTTGTAAATAGCCAGCTAGTTTGCCTCCAGCCATTTGGGATTCTTAAACCTGTTAAGTTTGATTTAGATTATTTGTCTCAGGCATTTCCTCAACCCCACTAGCATTAGTGCTATAAATACTGCCGAGGGTAAATAGGGTAAATATAAATAAGACATTTAAAACAATTTTCTGTTAGCACGAACGTATTTTGAACGAGCTATTGAGCTCACTACACGTTAGATAGAAATTGAATTCAGTGGTTATGTAAGGTTCAGCCTTGCATTTAGAAGTGATGCTCTGGCTGTGAATACGAATGGTTCTAGTGAAGAAAGCTACAGGGCTAGATGGCGTATCCGCGCGTCTTTTAAAGTATGCATGTATGTCTATTACCCCATCCCTCACGAGCGTGTTTGAACACAGTGTTAAAGCCTGCAAGTCATCAGACCAGTAGAAAATTGCTAGCGTCAGTGCGGCGTTCAAAAGGAGGACGAGAGGAAGATAGAACATGTTACAGACCACCGTCTATGCTCAGCATACCAAGACAGTAAATTAATGGAATTTTGCGTCGCAACTAATATCACTAATCACTTGGTTACGCAAAATTTACTTGAAGACAGGCAATGGGCTTATATGAAGGGAAAGTCAACAGAGAACAGCTTTTAAAATACCTAACAGAAAGGTGGAGAGAAGCAATAGAAAGGAAGCTTTTTGTGGGGATACTGTCTGTCGATCTCACTAAAGCTTTCGACACAGTGTCGCACAATATAATACTACGAAAGCTGAACGACCTTGGAATCAGAAGAGATATCTGGCTGTGGTTAAAGAACTACCTCACAGAAAGAAAACATTTCGTCAGAATCAACGGATGCGACTCCGATACACACGTTATAGCTCATGGAATGCCGCAAGGGTCGGTCCTCAGACCCACGTTCTCTCGTTCTTTACAAGCGACCTCTCAAAATCACTACGCTCTGCGGAAACGTATCCGTATGCAGACGACCAACAATATACTGTATCGTAGAAACGATGGAATTGCTAACAAACACATTAGACAATGTTCTAGGTGAACTCCAGGAATGTTGCGACAGAAATTTGATGGTACCACACCCGGAAAAATGTAAAGCAATGATAATCCAGCGGCAATCAACATACTGGCCTTATCCTAGCTCTTCGTTTTGGCAACAACATCATAAAGTGGACAACCTCCTTGGAGTATACGTTGATAACAAGTCTGATAACAAGTTGTCCTGGTCAGATCATGCTGCCAATGTAGCGAAGTTATTCGCATCCAAGTTAAGTTTTCGCCGACGCATGCGATTCCTCCCTTGGAAGCAATTAGAAGACTTTTCCACAAAAGTGATAATGTCATTAGTTACATACGGCCTGACAGTGTGGGATCGTGCAACAAGACGCACATAAACAACCTGGAGAAACTCCATGCAAGGGCTGGACGAATTTTATATGGGTTGCCACGGGGCACTAACGCTGAACAGGTCTTAAAGCTAACTGGGTGGGACAGTTTGGAAACAATGTACAAATTGCGATTAACGGAGTTTTTCTTCAAATGTATAAAAGGCTATTTAAAGAGTTTTTTTACAGAGGAATTTAGGCCGCAGAAGAAATGAAAACATCATTCTTCCAAGACCAGAAATGAATTCTATCAGAAAATCCATACGCTACAGAGGATCAATCGCATAGAACAGTTTCACGAACAAGGAAACCAGGGCTAAAACCTTGAAAGAATTCAAACGCTGTCTTGCAAAATTTTATACTGATAAAATACATTTTTCGAGCCTATTTTCAGCTACAACTAGAAACAGAAACAGTTTTAATTTTTAATTGTACATTTGTACAACCTATTTTTGGCTACAAATGAAAACAGAGATGTCGGTTACAAATATTTTTAACAGTTTTGAATTTTTAATTGTACATTTGTTTTCAGTACGTCTTAGTTTTCTTGTAACTGTTGTATGCCCACCAGCAATGCTGATCTTCTTATCGTGCTAAAATAAAGTTCTTATCTATCTATCTATCTATCTATCTAGAAACAGCCTTGGAAGCCTGTTTCTCGCATAGTACTTGAACTTGCACCAAACCAACGCAAAGAATTTGCAATGCTAATGACACACGTTTGCAACCATGTTTTGTATTGTCTGATCAAGCCTTATTGTTCCCTGAGCTCACTGATGCAGGACCGACATGAAAAAGGTGCAATGTTCGTCAACGTACGGAAATACAATGGCTTATACGTGTTTTCTTTAATTTATCCCAGAAGCTGTCGAATTATCCACCAAAAGCCAAGAAGAACTAATTGTCCTTGCTTTTATTACGCTAACTCCAATACATCCCGCCAGACACTTCTGCGTGGTGGAGACATCTCGGTGAATCCCGGATCTCTTGCTAAACAGAAGTCCGCAAAATGTGAGGAAAGTGAAAAAACGGTTAGGCTAAATCTACAGTGTCACCATTATGCACCTTTAATACCTAGAGCATGGTCTTGACGTTCGATAAATTCCTTATTACAATTAATGTTATAACACTAAGCGAGACGAGGCTGGAAGACAATCCTGCCTTACTGGACTTCGTGTCTGTGCCGGCTTATAGTACAGTTTTTCGGAACCAAAAATCAATAAAGGGCGGTGGTGTCGGTTCATATATTCGAAACGAGATCAGCTTCAATCACCGGAAAGATATTGAAAACCTTTAACTTGATCTTGAGCATCTTTGGGTCGAGATCCCAGGTTGCAACAAGCACACCAAAGCAATTGTTAAAGTGATGTATAGATCTACCCGAATTCTCAAAAACTCTGACTGGCTTGGGCGCCTAGGGTCTCTGCTTGGCCATCTTACAGCTACCCGGGACGGTTTACTCTTAGCGGGAGCGCCCGCGCGTGCGAAGCGCGCACAGCGGATCCCCAAACCTATAGAGAATGGGAACCCATCGATGCCATAAAATTTGGTTATGACGTTAGCGTACGCGTCTGCCCGTACAGACCCTGGTAGTAGGGATAAAAAAACTCAGTAGGGTAGAGAAGAGAGCCCCAGACATGTAGGCTGCGTTTCGTTTTTGGCGCAAAATTAACCATTTTAGGGGCAACCAACGGAGTATGTCACGGGATCGACTGGCAAAACTAAAGACAGAAGTTCTTGAACAAGCTGGATTTATTTAAAAAGCACAACGAAACAACATTATTCATTCAAAAAAACTAAAAACTTCGCTTGCATTCAAAGATCAACCTTATTCCAGTTGGTCATCTGCACGATGAAGGTATTTTATTACTACTACCAGAATACTTCAGCATTTTGCTTTCTTGTGCAAATTAGAGCTTTTTTTATTTAAACTTCGCTGGGATTACCAAATTTATAAAAATAAAAGGAATAGCAATGGCGTCATCGTGTAAATGACCTATAACCTGTATATCAAAAGATAAGCAAGGCGATCTGTTTGGTTTGTTTTAGCCACGCTTAATATAGCTGTAGATTCAAGGAACTAACCTGTGCGTTTAGAGCATGTCAGAGACTGATATTAGAGAGTTTTAGATCCGAGTTTACCGCAAACCTCTAACCGCGGTTTGCGGTTACCCGTTTGCGGTTCGACGTTCAAACATAATTCGATTTAGATTGGCGATGGATTAAACAAGTGGATTCTGGTTTATTATTCCATTTAGAAATAGAAGAAAAATTAATCAGTGAAAATAAAAGAAATTTACGGCAACACTGGGTTATCTAGCAGCAAAGAGCTGTAAATTCTTACATTAGTTCTTCTTGCAATTTTACGGCCGCCATTTTGAATCAGCAGCCATGAATGGCACTTGTTTTTAAGATCCAATAGGATTTATCAAATTTAGCATCTCGCCCGAATTTGTGCCTCTGTTAATGTATAAAGACTTGCTCCACAAGATTTTTGTATCATTACGTGGGATGAAACAATAATTGTACGCTAAAAGCTTTCAGGTAAATGACATACGTGAAAACCCAGCTCCCCACGTTGAAAACGCACGTTGTAAACCTCAAACGTGACGCGAAAGACTTGTCACGTGACCTCCAGCGGTTAGAGGTTCGCGGTAAACTCGGATCTAAAACTCTCTATTAGCATGACCCGCGTGCCGCAGACTTTGACACGCTCGGCATACCAGAGAATTTAGCATGCCCGGCATACCGGAGATTTTGGAACGCAAGGCATGCTGGGTATGAATTTCTTATTAGAACCTGACTGCTCGTGGCGCTGGTGAGAAGGTCACGGAACCTCAAAATATGCAAAAACACTCTGGGATCAACCCTTCTATTACCAGTGAGCAAATCATTGACGATAGGCATGGGGAAAATCCTTGCATGCTAACCAAAACTTAAAACGTAGCAGAAATGTTCTCAGTTGCTGATTCATGCCCTAGGGGAAGCTTAAAAATACATAATTTTCTGACATAGATGAGGGAATTTTCCTTAAACAGCATATGATCATGCCGGCTATGATGTAATTCCCCTTTTTTACGGCTAGCTAGACTCATTTTTAAGCTCCATGGCCTACAATGACGAAAAATTCATGCCCTAAATGTTAAAGGTCCAAAAAAAGTCCTCACAATTTTAGTTTCCAAGCCGTTCTGTCTACGAAAATTTAATGTCAATCTCGATCAAGCTGTTTTGATTTTTAAGAATACTATCTCCAAGTAAAATTGTAAACATGCTGGAAGCAATATTTTTTCAATGACCACCAGTTTCTGACATAGAAGATTGAAACTGATTTTCTTTTGTCTGTTGTCTTTTTCTTGTGCCGTCTTTTATAACTAATAAAAACAATACAAGCCACTTATTACAATCTTATCAACCTCAATCTCGTTTAAAAACTACCTAATTTGCATATGGTCCTCTCACATCGTCATCTTAATAAAAAAGAATTGTTAAAGACTACTTAGTAAACGAGGCATTATTCTCTTTGTTTATAACATATCCATCCCAGTCTGACATGTCTTCACTATGCAAGTTCTGCGACTTTAAAGACAACTTCAGCCTCGAGGGGATGGCACGAAACACAACTTAAATATGTTCATAGTCCACCACTGTCTTTAAAACCCACACCCTTTCCCTCATTGCCTTAAATCGCACCTGCAACTCTATGATGCAGTTCAGATTAGTTTATGGAATGAAACGAGGATTATTGAATTGATTTGTGGTCAGTGAACCGATGTTGTGGTCATTGAATTATTTGATATTTTTCTTGGCACCCCCTCTCTCATGGTACCTGACGTAACAAACATAAACACCGTAAGAGTCATTGAACTACATTGAAAACTAAACTATTTAAAACCTTGAACAATAAGTAGCCCGAAGAAATGTTTCATTCATACTCTTTTATTAGGGTAGCTAAACATGGTCTCTCTTCTTTACTCTAAGATGTAAAATTTCCAGTTAATCAAATGTCACGTTAAAAGCAAGTAGTATTAATTTGCCCTTTTAAGCCGTACTGAAGAACTAAAAAAAGCAATGTTTTGCAAAAGGAAATAAGCCTATTCAAGGAAATGATAGTTACGATAAAAAGACATCAACTGTCTTGATCTGTGTAAGGAGGTTCACATTTTATAATAAACATATAGTGAAAAGTGGAGATGCTGATGCTAGTTGAGGAATGGATTATTAAACCTCGCATCAGTTTCACAATCTTCTTTTCTTCCTAGTAAATTGTGTGCACTTGTAATACTTGTAACCTTATGTATACTACAGTATCTTGGGTAAGTTGAGTGTCTTTAAAGCAACATTATCAGCTATTATTAGTACTATTTATAGGACTATCAAGCTTAACAGTAGCCTAAGTATTACCAGAAATCTAGCAAAAAGGTAAGAAATAAAACTCGAAACTTCAGTAACCTACGATGGTGTCCTCTCGCCATTCGATCTTGCGTACAGCCATTTTTTTAAGCTTATTAACGGGGATGAAAATTGGGATTGAGATACGTAAACCAGAAGAAAAGTGTTTCTTTCCTTTTTTAGTGTACCAGTCAAGTTTATTCCATTTCTCAGTCTTCAAAGGTTAATTAGTAACGAGAATTTCTGCACACGAAAATGGTGCCAAACTGCCAATGCATGAGCTTTATTTATCGAGGTTTCAGTTCGGATGTTCCCCAAACTTTCCTATCCTCGCTTACTCAGATAATTGCTCTATGAAGCCAGTGAAAAAATATTGACGGTACTGTGACTTGTACTTGATTTTTCTACAGACAACCTCTACTTGAAAACTTTCAACTATATCCGCATCGTTCCCAGAAAGGGCAAACCTTCCAAAAGGATACAGGGAAAATTCTCCTCTCTGCAAATGGCGGATCATTCTCTCTCTCATTCACTCTCTTCTATTATCATGATCGATTACTAAACTCAATAGCACCGATCGTTCGATAGTTCGATTACCGAAATGTTTGGAGTAGTCACCCCGGATAAGATATATGACTGCTTCGTTTTCAAATAACAAAAGTAAAATAAACTCACATAATGCGAAGACGTTTATTGTTGAAAAATAGGCCACGTGTAATGTTCTTGATTCTGTTTGACGACAAATCGCTGTGAAATGAAACATTTCTGGTTACAACAGTCTCTCAGAGTCTCTCCAACGTGTTATAAACGATAGATAGTTCGCTATTTTTACATTATAAAAAAACGTAAAGTAATTTACCTAAATAATAATTGAAAAACAGCCGAAAGAACAAAAAATAAGGGAAAAATTCCCCGTTGTCCTTATAGTTATAGTGAATAAGGCCCAGTTCAAACGTCGAACTTTTCCTACACCGAACGTAATCCATCAATTAAGTTAATGGAAGGCCCAGGAATCTAAAGTTCGAATGGCCCACATGGGAATTTCGACAGAGAAGTGACTTCGTTTCAAACGTTGAACTTTTCTTTCATGTGCCGAACCTAATACATAAGTTACTATGACTTATTTTCAATGGTAAACTTTGTAGACCATGTACATCGTGAAGTGAATAAAGTCCGACTGAATCAATCGTCGAACTGTTATCATTTAGGTCGACCCTAATATATCGCTATTCAGTTCGGTACATGAAAAGTGCGACGTTTGAACTGGGCCTAATACGAGGACATTCCAAGTAATACTGACTGCTGTACGGACAGGAGAAAGCGGTCACGTAACTGTCAAGGTAGAAAATAGATTAAGCCGCGGTCAAAAGCAAAGCTTTCGTGGCCGAATTGCCATAAGTAAGAAGCAAACTGGCGACGATCAGTTTTAAAGTCCTTTGTTCACGAGTAGCTCCATGAAACTCCTTGCATTTGTGGAATATTTTTCTTCTTTCTATCGCAATTTGCTTTAATCAATTTTTCCACTTGAAGTCGGTTTTACCTAAAAACCGAGAGACCATCATAAGCCTCACCATTATCTGTCATTCTACCTTTGTTTCCTGGCAAATGATTGAAAGATAGAACCCCGAAGCTCCGAGGAAAACCCCCCAAAATTTTTTAATAAGTTAACCTGTTTGACAAGCTTTCAGTTCCATTCAATGAGCAATAACGTTGCATGAAGCGAAAACTGGACTTGCAAAGGAGTCACGTTAGTCTGTAACGCATTCTCGTTATGTACAGGAGTCCACATTATTTATTTATTACATTTACTGAGCTGATTTTATACCCCTCGAGTTGAATAATAAATCTGTTATACACCGTATTCACAAATGGCGGACACGCGGGAAAAAACTGGTGCCTAGTCATGAAAGCGAGGCGTTGGAGGGTAAACAAAAATTGCAAATGAAGACTTTCAGTGAACTTGCAGAGTGTTTAGCACGGATTCCACCTAAAATAACTTTGTACGGACTTCTTTTTAAATACAATTACGTGGGATGTCTTCTGTTTAGTATTGATTTGCTGTTTGCAATCAAAAGGGACGCGTATATCTTCAAGGAAACACGATGATTTTGTAGGTTTCCGAAGCATCAGAAGCTCGACAAGTCGGCGATGGCTGGAGAAAAGCGGCAAACATGTTGGCCCAAACTTCACATTGAAACCGAGTTCGAAAGCCAGCTCACTGCAATTCGGTAAAACAAAAATATAAACAATGCAAATCTTGGTGGCAAGAAAAAAAGAAATAAGCGATGGATATATGGCCTACTTGTTAACGTAAGAGACGTGTGCCATTGAACAAAACAGTTCAAATCGAGATGGAAAAAAGGAAGACAGGAAAGAAGCGGTGACTGAGGTTTCGATGAAGTTATGTTTGGTTTTTGTTTGCCAGGACGTTATTCTCTGGATTTATCGATGACGGACATCAATTAGAACTATCTGTTTGGTATAAATGCAGGAGTGATCGAGTGGAGTACGCTCAAAATTTCAACTTGTTACTCGGCAGACTCGGTAAGCCGGCCACATTTCATTTCAGCGAGTAATTTTCCTATTTCTTATCTTTGGCTGTTAAGAGTTTTAACTTCATGTTCCATGATATTTTAAAAGTGAAGAATACATAAATAAATAAATAAAATGATGGTCTTCTTAAACGGATCTAGACTCGCAGTTAATGATTCGAAAAAGAAGCTTGCCGTGTTCAGTCCTGACACAAACATTGCCTTGAAAGTTTAACCTAGTAAAATGTGAGCTTTATACCACTTTTTTACCAAGAGCTCTCCGAGATAATGCCGTAAAGGAGACCAGACAAATAGCAAGCCATAAGATTCACACACTAGAGCTTCTAGTTTTGATAAAATTATTTTATTTCGCAATGACAAAGAAATCAAAAGATTTTAAATTTGCACTGAATTTGCTAAGCTCTGCCAACGTACCTCTAACAATTCACTCCAAAGCGACGGAATTACTATCATCCAAAGGAAGTTGTAAATACAGACATACATAGATATGTGTAAAACGACACTGACTTGAATGAATGAGTCTCGTGAATGAATCTTTCACCCGCTCTCGACTTGACCTGTTTTGAGTAATGGCGGAGGTCTCTTCCGTTGACAAGTAGGCCATATATCCGTCGCTTATTTCTTTTTTTCTTGCCACCAATATCTGTTTTTACTTCTGTTTTACAGAATTGCAGTGAGCTGGTTTTCGTATTCGGTTTCAGCGTGAAGTTTGGGCCAACATGTTTGCCGCTTTTCTCCAGCCATCACCCACTTGTCGAGCTTCTGAGGCTTCGGCAACCTACAAAATCATCCTGTTTCCTTGAAGATATACGCGTCCCTTTTGATTGCAAACAGCAAATCAGTACTAAACATTAAAAGCAGAAGACGTCCCACGTCATTGTATTTAAAAAGACGTCCATACAAAGTTATTTTAGGTGGAATCCGTGCTAAACACTCTGCAAGTTCACTGAAAGTCTTCATTTGCAATTTTTGTTTACCCTCCAACGCCTCGCTTTCATGACTAGGCACCAGTTTTTTCCCGCGTGTCCGCCATTTGTGAATACGGTGTATAGGACGGTTTAGTGAGTACTGTCGTGGGATATTTTACCTCGTCTTTAGTATATTTTGACTCGCCCTACGGGCTAGCCCAAAACAAAACCCTGACTCGTAGAAATATCCCATGATACTACCCACTAAACTTTCATGTCACTTTGACTCCATCAGATCCTTGCTGTTAAGAATGAAGCCTTTGTTCTAGCCTTAGTTACTCTTTACCATTACACATATATAAAAAAAAAGCGCCTTACATTATTGTTACAGCGGATAGGTTGGCAAATATTCCTTCAGGCAAGTCTTGAATTAAGTTGCTTCTAAGAGTTCTGTTTAAGGGTAAAAAGAATTTCAGGTGATAGTATTAAGCCGTTGCCTGTAATTTAGATTTTGTGCACTCAAACCTTTGTGTACCGTGACCGAATGCAGAGAACAAAGTGTCCGTATTAGAGGGGTGTCGCCACGATGACATGGTCATTTTAAGACTCCACTGACAGTTTAAACTGTTCAGTGACTAAAACAGACCACACTTGTCTTTTAGGTGTAAGTGTGCCAAAACTGATGAATGTACAATATTGAGACTATCAATCTATCAGTAGCGTACTACTTATACAAAGTACACAGGGCGTAAGAAGTTAGGGCGTTGAAACGCTCATACGCGCTCTCTGGTTCAGCTGTGATGCGGAGTAGGACTGGATCTAGTTGGCCTTTCCGCTCTCGATCCGCTGTCAGGGCAAGAAAAATGGCGCCGTCTAGCTAGAGGTAGGTTCCGATTTCTTGCTTTATATCTTTAGATCGCTGCAATCTATAATTAGATTTGATATCTGGCGTATTTCTATGCGATATACCGAAAATATTTAGGTGATATTTTATAGTTTGTCTTATAAATTAAGGTGTTTTTTCGCCTTTTATGTTTATGTAGTGTCAAAATGGCCTATCGATTATTACAGGTTGAAGGTTGCGTTTTATCCTGCCAGTCAAAACCAAATGATAATAAACGGCTACAAAAAAATATATGTAATGGTTTTATAAATTTGTTTGTGCATGCAAATTTTTAGAGTGAACTTTTATGAACCTTTAAGGTTTTTTTACTTCTGAAGTGACGACTTCATAAAGGGGATAGCAAGGTTTTTGTTTTGTACATTGACGTTTAGCTTGTTAGTAAAATATACACTATTATGGTGAATAATTTTTTCAGTAGTGTTAATGATATATGAAATATATATGAACTACGGAAATGAAATGAAAATGAACAAATGATCGTCGCAGTGAACACAATTTATGCAATTGCGTAAAGAAGCCTGAAAAAAATTCAGGACTTCAACGGGGTTTGAACCCGTGACCTCGCGATTTACTGGTGCGATGCTCTACCAACTGAGCTATGAAGCCACTGACGTTGGGAGCAGGTCAATTGTGGGTTCATATGTTCCCGTAAAAGAAATCAGTGTTAATGATATATGAAATAAATCATATATGAACTGCGGAAATGAAATGAAAATGAAGAAATGATCGTCGCAGTGAACGCAATTTATGCAATTGCGTCATTTTCATTTCATTTCCGCAGTTCATATATGATTTATTTCATATATCATTAACACTCATTTCTTTCACGGGAATATATGAAAGCACAATTGACCTCCCCCCAACGTCGGTGGCTTCATAGCTCAGTTGGTGGAGCATCGCACCGGGTAAATCGCGAGGTCACGGGTTCAAACCCCATTGAAGTCCTGATATTTTTTTCAGGCTTCTTTACGCAATTGCATAAATTGCGTTCACTGCGACGATCATTTCTTCATTTTCATAATTTTTTTAGTTACAGAACCGCAAACCAAGAAGGTTGTGACTATTTTTAAAGTTCTACTAGAAAATTTCATTCGAATGATCTCGTGCATGTGAAAGTCTTTACATAAACAACAACAAATTCTGCTTCACTGCGGTATAAATGTAAAGGTTTTATTGCACAGAATGAAGCCTATGGAGAAATTTGCTTTCAAATCCCCATAAAGATTCGACTGTAAAATTAAATCATAGAATGTGTTTGTTATTATGATTTTATGCAGGACAACAGTGAGTGCCCGGCCTGAAAAGACTACTAGAACACACACTGAAAGATAAACGAGTTCATAATCCCGTGAATATGAAGAAGAACATGAAGAGGTCTTAATCTG